TCCTGCCTCAGCCTCCGGAGTAGCTGGGATTACAGGCACGCGCCACCATGCCCAGCTAATTTTTTGTGTTTTTAATAGAGACGGGGTTTCACCATGTTGACCAGGATGGTCTCGATCTCTTGACCTCATGATCCACCCGCCTCGGCCTCCCAAAGTGCTGGGATTACAGGCTTGAGCCACCGCGCCCGGCTATATTTTTCTTATGATCTGACTGAGGCTGTAAGTTTGGAGGAGGAAGACCATGGAGGTAAAGTGCCATTTTCTTGATGTCATATTATATCAGAGGTACATGATATCCACGTGATTTATCTCTATTTACATTTACTTTGATCAGTGTTCTCAGTTTTCTCCATTGTAAAGTTCATTCTTTTTTTTCCACCCTCTTTTTCCATAATGCACTCTTTGGAGGAAGTGCTATGTACTTCCCACACTTAAGGAGTGGGGAGTTATGTTCCTTCTCCTTGAGGGTGAAGTAGCTACATAAATTATTTGAATTCCTCTGCATGGGAAATTTGTCTTTAACTTCCCATTGATTTATTTAATCACTGTATCAGTAAGGACTCATGGATATTTAATTTATCCTTTGAGTTATAATCTGATATTTCTTTGTTGCTACAATTGATCTATCTTTAGCCACTAGGAGTTCCTTCAGTTGGCCCCGTGTTCCTTTCACATACCCCACTGTATGTGTGTTGTTTCAGTTCTGATTTTGGTTTTGGTTTTTAGCATCTCCTTATTCTCTGGTACCACAAGATGCTTCCAGCTCATCTTGTACATTTTACTCCAATCTTAGAATCAGTCATTTCTCTAAGAATCCCTGGTTTATTTTAATGAAGAATGGCACTAGAAACCAAGATCTGGACACTAGGTGTGTCCATTTTTACAGTATCAAGTCTTCAAATCATATCTCTCCATTTATTTAGGCCTTCTTTGACTTCTTTCATCAGAGTTTTGCAGCTTCTTCACATAGATTCTGTTCAAATTTTGTTAGATTTTACCTATTTCATTTCGAAGGGGTTGTTCTTTTTAATTTCAAGTTCCATTTGTGCACTGCTGCTGTATAGAAAAGCAATTGACTTTTGCATGTTAACCTTTTATCATGTTACCTTACTATAATTGCTTATTAGTTTAGTGAGGGTCTTTTTGGTATACTTTTTGGGATTTTCTAGACAGACATTCATGTCATCTACAAGCAGTTTTATTTCTTCCTTTTCTTTTCAAATCTTATTGTGCTGGTTAGAACTTTCAGTATAATGGTGAATGTATATATGTGCTTTTTATATTTCTTATTTTCTTAGATCCGTTATTCATCTTCAAATATTTATTTCTGAATCATTTTTGGTTTTTATGTCATTATTTAATATTTTCTATTATTTAAAAATTGCTCTCATTTTTGAAATATTCCATTATAGTTTTCATCCACCTTTTTTTTTTTTGCTTCATATTCTCTGTTCTATTATAGCAACTTTAAATGAAATTCAACCATGATCCTTTTCTGTGGTATACCTTTTAGACTAAGTTATTCTGTACTTTTGAGAGGGAGGATTGGGTAGAATAGTTTTCCCAGTTTCATGGCTCTAGAGGTTCCTTTTTAATATTTCATAAAATTACACACTTGTATCCTTGTATTTTCTGAGATGTCTCCTTTCTATTTTCCCACTTTTATCTGCATCTGCTTTTTCCTTGGCCCGTTGTCTCTGTTCTGTTCAATTCAATTCCTACTTTCAGCAGTTTCTCCTTAGTGTTGGGCCATGTTCAAGAATGGGGCTCCACTGTTCACAGGCCTCACGTTCCTCCAGCAAATTCAGACCCTCCTGCTCATTACTTTACACTTAGCTGAGCTTAGAGTCTGCTGAACTCCCTGTCAGTTTTGCCACTGACCTCACAGTGGTTTCCCCTGTTTTCTAGCAATCATTTGTTGGCATTTTTGGGGTCTTTCTATTCTGAGGGTCTTCAGATATCTGTTGTTTTCCTACCATTTACTCCTACACAGTTGTTGATGTTGAGTTTTCTCCTTTTTGTTCATATTTTGAGATTTGTAGGGATTCCTTTCCACCTAGTTATGTTATAGCTATCATCTGGGATTGTTGTTATTGTCTATCTTAGATGCTTTATCTGTTTTTATGAGGAGATTCAGGAGGTTCACAGACTACTCTGCCTCTCTAATCATCTTCCCAGACTCTTCAATATTCACGTATTACTTGGAAGGATAAGGTGTTTTAAAATACATTTTAAGTTTTTTTCTGTATTTTTGGAATTAGTCAAAATGCAGGTTGAAATGATTATAGATGAGAGGTAGATTCTTCCCTTTAGCTACCTTTCAAGTCATGTTTAAAAACAGGTTTCTTTTTGGCTTTCCCAGCCTGAAATTAAAGTACTCACAAGCATTATTCTATTTCCACATCTCATCACTTCCAACTTTCTGAAGAGTATTCTAAGACTTAAAATCAGAATTAAGCTTAAAAGAATGGAATTTGTATTGATTGCCCAATGTTTGAAATAAAATAAAATAAAATTTGAAATAAAATGTTTGGAGGTGTTTATAATCATATTTATTACTGTATTTTTATGCCCTAAGGTATCAGTTCTATCTGTAGCCCCCTTCTTATTCTACAAACTAGGGTCCAATTTAACAAACTGGCTACCAATTACCTGAATATGACCCACAGATATATTTTATTTAGCCTGCTCAGTATTTTAAAACAAAATAGCTGTCAACACTTCAAAACCAGATTTCATATTTATGGCTATTGTTAAAAAATTGACATCTGGTGTGATTAGACCCATATTCTCTCTTGGAACTTGTACCCTGATTAAAAAGAAAATGCACTCTCAGCTTTGTGATACTTTCCTTCCAGATGCTTCTCTCATTTGCTACCTTCCAGTACCCACAGTATTATGCATTTGTAACCCATGTAATATCTGACGGAGTCCAACCTCTTAAATTGTCTTCAACTACAAGTGTGCATTCATTCTTTTTAAATCTGTTTCTACTCAGATGTCCTACAGACCCCCCCCAGAATCCACATTTTTAAAATCAAACTATTTTTTCAAAACCTATTTTTCCTCCATTATTCCCTAAATGACCCAGTTAACATTATAGAATTCCTACAGTTTTCCAAGTGAGAGAAACCCTCCGGGTCATTGTCTCCTCCTCCTGCCACATCCTATTTACAGCTTTTCAGTCATGTGCAAATCTATGACATGCTTAGGTCTTTGCTTTCACTGTTCCCAATATTCTAAACTTCTTTACTTTGAGACACCTGTAAAACTCCTACTTACTTTCCAAGATGAAACAAAATTATTCAATCTCCAAAACTATGTACTCTGCCTCAAGGAGCAATTAGTTGCTTCTTTCAAAGTAGGAGCATCTCAAGTACACATTATATGCTATTTATTTACTGCTGGCTCCCCCATTAGATTAGGGATTCCTTGAGGACACAGAGCATGATTTAGTCATTTCTGTATCACCAGTACTAAGACAAAAAGCATAGAACTTGATAAATGTGTCAAATAAACACATGAATTTTACAAATCAATGAAAATATTGTTTCATATGATTTCACCTTCTTAAACTTTCTATATGTTTCAATTTTTGTCAAATTGACTTCTTTGGATTGATACTAGAATCATTTTAGATTTTGCACCAAATGACTACAAAGTTAAATGTCCAGGACAAAAGAAAATGTATTGACTTCTTTACTAAAATATGAAGTTTTTGTTTTGTTTTGTTTTTTTGCTTTAAAACTTGGCTTAAACTATCTAAGGATGCCATGTATTAACTCTAAAAAAAATGTATAATTATTTATAAAACAGATCCCATAGGAGCAACTGAACAGCTGTGGAAAGATTTGGCACATCACTTTGCCAGCCTGAATTTAATGACCTACATGTGAAGGGCTACATATCCAATTACTAATCCTCCCTCAGCTACTCTCTGCCCTGATATGGAGGCAGCTGAAAAAAGATGCCCTACTAACAAATCAGAAGTAGATCCAGACTTTTTTGCTAGTGCTCAGTTATGAAAGATCTTCTAGGTTTGAGATGAGGAAGAAACGGAGAGGGGCTCAGAACAGTGTTATATCTGACACAGTGTTTCAAGTAAAATTTAAAGGCTTATGGTGAGAATGACTTTAGCTTTGTAACTAAAGACAAAGAAATTTCAGCACTTTTAGAGAACCTCAAATTCTGAATTTAATTTTCTATTCACTGAAGCATTTAAACATGTTCAAATATCTTCAAGCATCAAGGATAATTTACTTTAAAATTCTTTCTATACTGAGAAGCCAGTCTTCTATTCAAAGATGCAAACCTCATTCTCATCTTCAAATTCTGCAATAATTGTCTATTAGAAGAAGAGGGGGAAAAAACTAAATAGAAAATGACAATTTATGGGATTGTATTTCATTTCTCTCAGTTAACATAGTCTATATATAGAAAAAAGATTATATGAGGTCAAATATTATAAACAATGAAATGCCATCTGATGGTTTGCAAAACAGCATAAGAAAAATAGTTAAAGGAATGAATAAAGAGTAAAGCTATGGCTGTTTTACTTGAGCCATGAAAAAGGCTTACAGATTCTAAATTTAAATGCATTTTATTGTGAATCTGACTCACTTTTTGAATTTAATTTTCCACTTATGTAAAATCATGGGATATGGTAATTTTCTGTATAAATTAAAAATAATTTAGGCAAGAGATGCTTTTCTCTCATTTTCAACACAGAAAAATTATGAGCCTTTCTTTGATGTTTTGCATTTTTAACAGTGGGACTATCTTAATTCCTCCACCCAATCCCCACAAGAATATATGAATGAATGCACGTGTGGTGGTACACACTTAACTTCTTGAACTGGAAAAAACAGACATCACTTTAACTAACTACATCCCACTCCCAAAACCCTAACTCCGGACCCGCCCCGCTTAAACCCCTCCCCTTTTTCCCATTGCGGGTTCGAAATTGGCGCAGTTAGATAACGTAAGACGCACCCGCCGTAGCCTCCACTGTGTGACTACCGCCCCGGCCTCTGGGAATTGAAGTTTCTGTGGAAGGAAGCGGGAGCGGTAACCAGGCCAACCCAGGAAGGCTTTTTTTCTTAGCTTTCACTTCCCTGTAAACTCTTCAGCTCGGTAAGTGTCCTGGCACTGGCTGGCGCTCGCCCTCACTTTGGTATTGTTCGGGTGCAAAGGTGCGCGTGCTATGCAGCCCTCGACTAGCAACAAGAGCTTCCGGGGGAGAGAGGAGCGGTGGTATGGAAGTGGATGCCTGCGGCGCCAGGTTGTTGAAGGAAATGACGTTGATGATAGGCGCCCCCCGCGGCCTACTCGGCTGCTGTCTGGTTCGCCAGCGGCAGCTTAATCCCGCCTCTGGAGTGCGTTCGCTGGCGGGAACCTGGAAGGGACAGTGGGCGACGCTCCGCCCATACGGTGGGGCCCTTTCAGTCGGCGTGTGTTGAGGGTTGCCGTCCGCCCGTAGTATGTGAAAAGTGAGTCTGCAAAGAATGAGAGGGAAATCTGTACTCTAAAGGGCCGGAAAGCGTGTTATGCCCCTGCCGCTTCGTGGCGAGAGACCGTAGGCTTTACAAAGCCGCCTTACCTCATTTTTCCTGCGAGGGGCCGATGTGGCTGAGCCCTCTGAAACGTAGAGAGCCCGAGGGGAAGTTGCTGCAGGTGCTGTGAGCTGTTAAAAAGATCGAAATGTTACTTGATTTCACTGACATACTTTCAATTTGGGGATTTTTTTAGAGATATAAAGACAAGTTACTTGTCACTTTCTGAAAGAATCTCCTCTGCCCAAAAGGCTTGACAACTGAAGTGAACAAAGGGCTTTTCGCTGCTCCACGTTTAGCCAGCACGTCTTTAAAAAGGGCATTGCAGGCCGGGCGCGGTGGCTCACGACCGTAATTCCGACACTTTGGGAAGCCAAGGCGGGTGGATCACCTGAGGTCAGGAATTCAAGACCAGCTTGACCAACAGGGTGAAACTCCGTCTTTACAAAATTAGGCGGGCGTGGTGGCGAATGCCTTTAATCCCACCTACTTGAGAGGCTGAAGCAGAATTGCTTGAACCCGGGAGGCGGAGGTTGCAATGAGCCGAGATTGCGCCATTGCACTCCAAGCTGGGCAACAAAGCAAAACTCCATCTCAAAAAAAAAAAAAAAAAAAAAAAAAAAAAAGGCCGGGCGCGGTGGCTCAAGCCTGTAATCCCAGCACTTTGGGAGGTCGAGGCGGGTGGATCACGAGGTCGAGAGATCGAAACCATCCTGGTCAACATGGTGAAACCCCGTCTCTACTAAAAATACAAAAAAATTAGCTGGGCATGGTGGCACGTTCCTGTAATTCCAGCTACTCAGGAGGCTGAGGCAGGAGAATTGCCTGAACCCAGGAGGCGGAGGTTGCGGTGAGCCGAGATCGCGCCATTGCACTCTAGCCTGGGTAACAAGAGCGAAACTCCGTCTCAAAAAAAAAAAAAAAAAAGTCACTATTAAGTCATTAATTCCATTCTGCATTATTTCAACGTTCGTTCAGATTTTTCCGGAAGGGAGACTGTCAAAACTTATGCAGTTTTAAAAAACTTCTTTTTTTTTTTCAGTCTTCATTGATTTAGGATGTATCCTCCTTGCCTTAAGCTGTGCTAGGATACAGAAATACAAGGAAGATTGAGATAGTTTGTAAGCCCACCTGATAACCTGTATCTGCGAATGAACCCCAGTAATTTTTAAAATTTTTGCTAAGTAAAATTTCACACATACTTACATATATTTGTGTGAAATTATGTATATGATATATTTTGGGAGATGTAGTCTTACTCTATCGCCCAAGCTGGGGTGCAGTGGTGCGATCTTGTCACACTGCAACCTCCGCCTCCTAGGTTCAAGCGATTCTTCTGCCTCAGCCTCCCGAGTAGCTGGGATTATAGGCGTCCACCACCACACCTGGCTAATTTTTGTATTTTTAGTAGACAGGGTTTTGCCATGTTTGTCAGGCTGGTCTCAAGTGCCTGACCTCAGGCAATCTGCCCATCTCAGCCTCCCAAAATGCTAGGATTATGGGCTTGAGCCACCGCACCTGGCCTCACACAAATATTTTTATAGTTAATATAAAACACGTTTTGAACATTGGTGAACTTGGTTGAATGAATGAAAATGTACTGTGAGCATCACTGCATGTGAGAAAGGAGTGCAAAATTCTACTATAAAATTTTATAAATTATTCCCCAAACTAAAACAATTAGAAAGCAAGTATACCTAATAAAGTGCTATGTTTTGCTTAACAGGTAATCTGAGCATGCTAGTACATAGTGCAGTGTAGATATATATTATACTTATTGTATAGTGTAGACAGTGTGAGTTGGTAGATGTATTTGTGTACTATAAGGAATAATGTATAAGATAGCAAGCTAGCATCATTTTTGTTGCATTCCATTGTCTCAATGCACCTAGCTTATTTAAAATCTAAAAACTTAGTATAGTGCATTTTCTTAATTATGAATAGTTTTAAAAGTGTGTACCTACGCAACAATATTGCATGTTCATCACATGCACCCCAAAACCTAAAATGCAATTAAAAAAAAAAAAAGATGATGATGATGATGATGATGATGATGATGATGATGATGTTGATGTTAGCCAGCCTATGACCTTTCCTTGTATTTGAGAGACTGAAGCATTACAATACTATGACAGGTCAAATTAAACTTAAGACTTCTTAGGTAGGAAAGGCAAATGCTCCCCCTGGTGTACATGAGCTGTAAAACGTTACATTGCTTTTTTAAAAATCTTCACTTGGGCCAGGCACAGTGGCTCACACCTGTAATCCCAGCACTCTGGGAGGCCAAGGCGGTGGGATCACCAGGTCAGGAGTTAGAGCTCAGCCTGCCCAACATGGTGAAACCTTTCTCTACGAAAAATACAAAAATTAGCTGGGTGTAGTGGCGTCTGCCTGTAATACTAGCTACTCAGGAGGCCGAGGCAGTTGAATGGTTGAACCCAAGAGGCGGAGGTTGCACTGACCCGAGATCACCCCACTGCACTCCAGCCTGGCCATAGAGCAAGACTCAAAAAAAAAAAAAAAAAAAGAAAAAAAAAATCCACACATACAGCTAATCAACACGTCCAGTTTTTGAATCAAATAGAGAACTAACTGAAAATGATATCACTGATAAATGGAAATGTGCTCTTGGAATATTGATTATTATTTAATGAAGAGAGCAATTTGTTTTCTGTGAATTTTAATTGTGCTTTTAAGTTTCCTCCACCAGGTATTGTTTTAGATACCTGTATTGCTGAATTTTATTTAATGTATTGTGTATTAAAAGAAAGTAAAATAAAAGAGAGCCTGCGGTTCAAAATATATATTTTTAAATTTTTTCCTTCTAGTCTTTTTAGGCTTATTCAGTTTCCTCACCTCTAGTTCCTTAAACTGAATGCTTACCTTACTTTATAGCTTTTTTAAAAAAGTAATGAATGCATTCAAGGCTATATATCTGTTTATCTCTAATTACCTTTTTCCCTTTGTCCCTCTCATTCTGTTATTCAAGTCTTAACTTCTCCTCCATATTATTTTTCTGTTCTGTTTTTGTCTGCATACTGAGTCAGATTGTCAGGATATCTTCTAAATCATCGTTACCCCTTGGCACTCCAAATAATCTGGAGTTTGTCTCTTCTTTTGAACTTTTTATGTCTTCATTTCCTGGTTTTCAAATTGTTCTTTTTCATGGATTCTTGTTTTGCTTTTTAGGAAAGGCTGCTTTTGTATCACAATTTTCTGTTTTGTTTTTATAGTTCTTATTCCCTTATGACCTCTCTGAAATATCTCAGCCAAATTTACTTTAAAGTCATTTTCAGATGGCCCTATTTTTAATTTGTATCAAGTGAATTTTTTCCTGGTTATTGATTTCATTTTTAAAAATCAGTTTTTTTCTTTTTGTGATTTCCCTCATTCTACAGCATTAAAGAAGACTATAGAAAAGATGCTTTTTATCTTTCTTTAAAATATTTTTTCTTTTCTTAAAAACAATAATTTTCATTACATAAACTTTAGAAAATGCATAAAACCATAGGTAAGAATTAAACATGTCTGTGTGTATACTTGTTTTTTTAAAAGTTGGTTATAATGTATATGTTTTTTTCTTTGATTTTATTTAACTTATACCAATTTCCCCTTATCATTAAATAATTTTGGATATATAAGTTTTACTGGCTTCTTCACATTCCTTGCCTGTGTTATAGATTAACTATAATTGTTTAGTTTTCTTTCATGGACATTCAAGAGGTATCTAACTTTTCACTGTTAAAAATAACACTGTGCTGCCTCTACTCTTGTGTACATTTTTGTGTGCATTTCTAATTTATTTGCAGAAATTTAACCAATAGTATATGGAACACCCCATTTCTTCAGACCTTTGCTAGCATTGCTGATGAATGATACTTAATTGATATTAAATGTTATTTAAATGATATTTACCAATAAATAGCATTTAATTGAATTTTTATTTCCATGATTATATGGTTTAATTTTAATCATATTATTTTAGTTTTTTAACTTTTTTGTGTTTGTAAATTATCTGTTCATGTCAAAAGTTGTTTTTCAGAGGTACCAAATAATGTCATCTGAAATGTTGCCAGCATTTATTGAAACTTCTAACGTTGACAAAAAGCAAGGCTTAAATGAAGATCAAGAGGAGAGCCAGAAGCCAAGATTAGGTGAAGGGTCTGAACCAATATCTAAAAGGCAAATGAAAAAACTAATAAAACAGAAACAATGGGAAGAACAACGGGAACTCCGCAAGTATGTGTTTCAAAATGTGTATGCTCTCTTTTTATTTAGAAATATGGAATGTTAGACCTTGCATAGCTCTTTGGCATATTAAGTGTAATTATGTTACTTAAAATTCAGTTGCTAATTTTAGACAAAAGTGGAAAAAAAAATGCAAGAGAAAAAAATTGAAGTTAACAATGTATATTATGAGTAGCAGCACAATTTTTGAAACAACTGTCTTATATAAGGAGTGTAATTAGTGTCCACTTGCTAGTTATGGAATAAAAACAGCCAACTCAGAAAGATCAAGTTTTGGCCTAACATTGATTTTGCCAGAAGAACCATTGTAGGTTTTGGTGAAAGCAGTTAGGCTAAATTTGTTACTGTAATAAACACCAAAATTTACGAAAAGAAAATAAACTATAGTTGGTGTAAATTAGAGAAAAAGTATGTAATTTTTCTTAATGAACAATTTTATTTTGCCTTTTTTCTTTGCCTCATAGCTGCCTGGGAGGCTGAGGTAGGAGAATCGCTTGAACTCGGGGAGGTATAGGTTGCAGTGAGCCGAGATCACGCCATTGCACTCAGTCTCAAAAAAAAAATTAAAAAAACAATGAAACAAAAAAAATTATATAGGTGAATGATGAAAGTAAAATTAGTGGTAACTCAAAGTCAGTATTTATAAGGTTTTCTTATGGATAGTATGATACCAATAGCAAATGAAACTATTGAGGAGGTATAGTTAGCATTTAAATAGAAAGCTTTAGATCATTTTTGAAAGCTCATTTCCTTTCTATCTGAAGCTTTTAGATGGGCTGTATAAAACTGGTAATACTTGACCATTTTTGAATCGTCACAGAAGTGACAATTTCCTATGGCTTAACCCGACAGTTTTTAAAAGTAATTATTTAAAAGAGTCTTGTGAATAACTGGATACACAATAACAAAATGTTATTTCAATAACTGATTTTAGACAAAAGCGGAAAGAAAAACGCAAGAGGAAGAAATTGGAGCGACAATGTCAAGTGGAATCACACTCAGAAGGAAATGACAGAAAACGTGTTCGCAGAGATGTGGTTCACAGCACCCTTCGCCTTATCATTGACTGTAGTTTTGATGACTTAATGGTATTAAAGGTATCATGAATTGTTGTCAGAAAAATCTTGTATATGAATTAGGTCGAATCATTCTTGTTTTAACATATAATATCCCTTTTATTTAACTTTATGCATTGAAATGAATCTTTTTTTCCAAATTTCTTTCCCCCGAGTTAAATTAGCTAGTAAATTTCATTGATATAATGAATTTGTATATTTATATGTGTGTATATGTGTGTGTGTCTGTATGTGTGCAGACAGGAAAGAGAGACAAACACACACTTTATAGTCTAGATGACAGAACTAAATTAGCCATTTAGTAATCATAAAGATCTATGGGGTTTTACCAGTGTTGGTAAAACATAAACATAATAATATTATGGCTCTAAAAGTGTTTTGTTGTTGTTTCTTAAGAGAGTAGATGTTTTCATGAACTATCATTTTAAATAAATACAAAATATAAAATAATGGGTAACTTACAGAGCATTAACTTACAGTAATTTTGTTAGTATGTAAGGAATCAAATAATGTTCATCAGAATGAATTTGTATTTGAGAAGAAGAATTGTATGTATATAGTCATTCCTTCTGTGTATTCCATTCCTTTAAGATCACAGAATGGCCACAGAAAATTTTAATAACTTTGCTTTAAAATTTGAACTCTGTACTAGGACATTAAGAAACTTCATAAGCAAATTCAACGATGTTATGCAGAAAACCGACGGGCACTGCATCCTGTGCAGGTATGTCTGAAGATTTTAAAGCAGACTCTAGTTTTCTTTTATATCTTTCATGGCTAAGGACATAGATAATTCCTATAGTCTTTGCAGGAGGCTTACATGTAATTTTGTTTAATGCCTATTTGAAAAATATTTTCTTTTTTGACAAAAATAAAGCAAAATATTTTAAACATCTTTCAGTATGTTATCTTAGACACACTCTTTCCAGTAATCATGAGTCTTAATCAAATTGACGTTTTCATTGCCATGTAGTTGAATATCTTCATTATAGGACATAAATATCTTTTTATACCAGTTTCTCAGAGCCAAAAGCTGTGGCTGCCACTGCTTGATATATGCTGTGGTATCTGTTGTATAGGTTTTGTCTCCTTAAAGGTTTTTTGTTTTCTTTTGGGTCACTGAGAGTTTAAACAGGTATTTTTTAATCTGAGGAAAGGAGTAATTTGGCAGACTATTTGGCTACCGTTAAGAATAACATCTTTCTGTTGGAATTCTAGGTGACCTAAAAATTAATACGACCTCATTGATGTTAAGAACCAGGAACTATTAATATGTTTTGATTAGATATTTTGTTTTTACTTAGTAATTTTATGCTTTTGTATTTTTTATGTTTTATAGTTTCATATCACACTTATATGATAGTCCTTATGTTCCCATTTTTATCTGTAGTAGACCCTTTCTCACTCTTGATTGAGACTTAAATAGGTATCAGGGTTTAGAATCAAAGAAAAATTATGAAGACTCCATTTGGTTTAAAAAAAACTTGTGGCAGAAAAAAAAGAATAGGAACTTGACATGGAAGCAGGGAGTTTGCAGAAAAGTGATGATTAAGGTAGAGACAAGTTATAACTACTTGTGATGAAAATGTAAGTGGGATACTACAGCTCCTGGGTTATGAAACACACACACAAAACATGCCATTTCTACCACAGTTTATTGTATGCTCAAAGCGTGTCACAAATTTTTTTTCTAGATCAATGAGAATAAATATATTTTGTGTTTCATAGATTATCAGATGAGTAAATGAGAGAAATAAAATGTTAGACTTAAATGGATATTTGTTCCCTCTTTCTATACCTACAAATCTTTTATCAGTTTTACTTGACAAGCCACGGAGGCCAGCTGAAAAAGAACATGGATGAAAATGACAAAGGATGGGTCAACTGGAAGGTAATTAAAACAGATAAATTCTCACATAATTCCAGGTATTTTTATGTTTCTAAAGATCTACATTTTGTACCTAAATTGTATATAATGCTACTTAATACAACAATCTCCAGATGTAATCGCTGAACCTAAGTGTAAGATTACAAATTAGAGATGCTGAAGAAGGGAGCAAGATGTCTGGTAGTTTGTATTTGTTCTCATTAAATCTTACCTATTTTACTGTCAACTTTTAAAACATATTTTTAAGAAGAAATAATTTTAAGGATCTTCATATCATTTCTCCCTAGCATACTAGCTAAACATTATATATTACCTATAAAAATGAAATCACTCTAAATTTTGAAAGTGTGCCTGCATTCTGTTTCTTCTTTCCCTGTCCTGGCCACTGACCACATGTGACTATTGAACTTGAAATGTGATAGTCTGAATTGTGAATTGAGATGTGCTATGACTAGGAAATACATACTGGATTTCAAAGACTCAGTACCACAGAAGAGAGAAAAAGAATGTGAATGTATCCTAAATAATTTTTAAAACATTTATTAAATGTTCAAATAGTAACATTTTGGGTACACTGTGTTAAAAAAATAAATTGTTAAAATTAATTTTACCTGTTTTCACTTTTTTAAATGTGGATACTAGAATATTTAAAATTGCGTATGTGGCTTCACAGTTTTCTTTTTCTGTTGGACCAAATTGTTCTCAATCATTGGTAAAGATGACTAAATAGGTTGTCTTTGGTACCAGTCCCTGAGGAACTCTATCTTATTTAGAAAAGTCCTGGGTTATCCCTGTACTTTTTTCTTTCTCAAAGTCAGTTCTCTCAGTGACACACCTTCCCTTTCAAACTCACTAATTCTATAATGAAGGCATTTATTTTGTTAATAGTCTATGATATGAAACATTTTCAAAGGCTTTTAAGTACAATATATTTACCAAATCCTATGTTTGTGCCTGTTTTTCCAAGAAATAGTATAATAAATTAAAAGAGTCATGTTTTCAGTTATTTTGCAACTTGTTAAATTTATCATTTATACCATCAGCTTTCCAGAGAGACTTGAGCTTCATTGGTCTCTAATTAATCAGGTTCCTCTTGGGGCCCTTATTAAGTATAAAGGTTAAATTTATAGTAAAACATTTTCCAGAAAAGTAGCTATTTATTAATTATACATTTTAGGAGACAGTTCATTTGCCTCATTCTTGGTTTCATTAAAAATTATTGGATAAATGTCATCCGAGCCTGGTGATACATGTTCTTTTATGCAGTCAGTGTGGCTTGCAAAATCATGACTGCCAGCTATTGTTCAATTTTATACCCATGATCTGACAGTTTTGGTGAAGAAGTTTTCAAATGTGTATCTCTTTGTAAAAACAGATATATGGAATTAATTAAATCTATAAGCTGTTCGCTTTCATGATTCGTGTAGATGGAGAGGAAGTAATTGGAGCAGGCATTCTTTGGTTGTAGAACAACATGAGCAAGTATGTGGCAGTAAAAATGCATTTGTTTTGTTAGAACTGAGATAAAGTTGGAAAAGTAGATTAGTGCCATATTCAGGAAAGAGTTATTAAGGAGTTTAGATTATATCCCACAGAAATAGATAAAACATTGGAAGTCGTGTTTTTAGAAAATGAGCCTGCTATCAGTGTGTGGAAGTAGGTTGGAGGGGTCTCAGGCCAGCAACGAGGAAATAAAATTAAGAGGCTATTTAAATGATCAAGGTGTGAGATGATAAGGAATTGATGTAGTAAATTCTAAATAATGCATTGTAATGATTATATTCTTTTAAACTTAATTTTACATGTTTTTGGATGGATTTGTTTTGGGAAAAGAGAATAATTATTTGTGGACAATATTCACAAGATCCTGTTAATTAGTAACATCTTTCCCCTGTGTCTTAAAGGATATCCATATCAAACCAGAGCACTATAGTGAACTCATAAAAAAAGAAGACCTGATTTATCTTACATCAGATTCACCTAATATACTGAAGGAATTAGATGAATCAAAAGCCTATGTGATTGGAGGATTAGTAGATCACAACCATTGCAAGGTACTATTAGATTTTTATTTTTACCTTTGCTACTTAAAATTGCTATTTCAGCATTTCCTGAAAGTAACAGTAATACTAATGATAGCTGATCTTTATTGAGTGCCTACTATATGTCAGTCACCTTTTGAGCTAAGCAAAGTATTTCACATATATTAGCTTACTTAATCTTCATTACAACCCAGTGAGTTTAGTGCTATTATCATCCACATTCCACAGGTAAGAAATTCACAGCACAGAGAAATTAAGTCTAAAATCAGTAGTAGTAGGTGACAAGGCAGCTATTTGAAACCAGGCATATTGCTCTGGAGTCCACATGCTTAACCACTACACTTTATTGATAGAAGATACTGCTGCTAATCAATTGCTAAGCCATTGGAATTTAAACTAGTTTTTAAATACGTTATTTTCATGAGATGTTTTTTCTATTCTCTTACATTTGTAATTTTCTCTCCTCCCATCTATACCTTTATTTGGATGAAAAATTACAGAAATGCACTTTCTAAAAGAAAATATCATTTTATACTTCACCGGCAATGTTGCAGCTTGCAAAATTCTTCATATCTGCTCGTCCAGTATGTTAGCTCTGTGGCAATAGAGCTGCAGCTGTCCAATTGGTAACTATGTGTGATCATTTATATCATTTATACTTAAATTTAACTTGATTACAATTTACAAAATTCAGTTCTTCAGTATGTGTGTACAAATGTGTACAGTATGACTGAAGAACTGAATTTTAGAAATTGTAATCAATTTAAGTAATCACACATGGCTACCAATTGAACAGTTGCAGCTCTGTTGCATCATTGGGAATTTTATCAGAATGATCTTTAGCCTTTTTATTTTTTTCTTAGTGGAAAAATTCTGTTTTGTTATTTGTATAGAATCACATATTTTTTCATGTTTGTTTCTCTGAACTAAAACAGTTTTGTTTTCAAAAGCACCTACTTCAATCTATTATTAATTATTTGAGCCCCCCACCACCAAATATGTTAACCATCAGTGGAAGAATTAGCTTTTCTTTCTCCTGTACTCTGTTTTTTGACCATTTCAGTTCTGGTTAGACATAGGCTTCAAGGATTTTGATTTTGACAAGAGATAAAATTCATATTCAGCATTTTTTTAATTTACAGAAAGGGAAAAATAAAACATCTGTTATTTAAAATTTCTCAGTTCTAGTTTTCATTTAATTTGTTTTTGCCATTTGTATAAAGTAGTGTTACATAATTGAATTCAGTTTAAATACAGTCATACATTGCTTAATGATGGGAATATATTCTGAGAATTGCACCATTAAGTGATATGAACATTATAGAGTGTACCTACAGAAACCTAGACTGTATAGCCTATTACACATAGACTGCATGGCATAGCCATGCAATAGCTCCTACATTACAAACCTATACAGAATGTTACTGTACCGAATAGTGTAGACAGTTGTAACATAATGGTCTTTGCGTTTCTAAACGTATTTAAACATAGATGTTATAAAATATTTTAAAAATTCATGTATACTTGTATAGGGGCACTTACCATGAGTGGTGCTTGCAGGACTGCAAGTTGCTCTAGGTGAGTCAGTATGGGAGTGGTAAATAAATGTGAAGACCTAGATATTACTGTGTGCTATTGTAGACGTTATAAATATTGTACAGTTACATTACACGAACTTTTTTCTTCAGTAATGAATTAGCCTTAGCTTACTGTAACTTTTTTTACTCTATAAACTTAATTTTTAAAACTTTTAGACTCTTTTGTAATAGCATTGAGCCTAAAACATAAACACATTATACAGCTGTACAAAAATATTTTCTTTCATATATCCTTATTCCATAAGCTTCTTTCTATTCTTAATCTTTTTTAGCTTTTTAAAGTTAAAATTTTTTTTCTCTTTTTCTTTAACTTTTTAAACTTTTTTGTTAAAAACTAAGACACAAACACACACATTAGCATAGGCCTACATAGAGTCAGGATCATCAATATCACTGTCGTCTACCTCTACATCTTGGTCCACTAGAAGGTCTTTAGGGGTAATGACATGCATGGAGCTGTCATCTTCTGTAGTAACAGTGCCTTCTCCTGTAATGCCTCCTAAGAACCTGCCTGAGGCTGTTTTACATGTAACTATTTTTTTTTAAGAGTAGGAGAAGTACACTCTAATGATAAAAAGTATAGTAAATACATAACTGGTAATATAATTTATTATTATCAAACATTATTTACTGTACATAATTATAGTGCTGTACTTTTATGTGACTAGCAGAAGGTTTGTTTCTGTCAGCATCACCACAAACACGAGTAATGCATTTCAGTATGATGTTCCACAGCTCCAGAGTCACTAGGTGACAGGAATATTTCAACTCCATTATAATCTCATGGGACCACCACTGTATATGAGATCTGTTGTTGCATGAAACTTTGTTATGCAGTGCAAGACTTTATTTTAAACTGAGATAAAGGCAGGGTAGAATGGGGAAATTATATTTGAGTTAGGAGACATGTGAGCCAGATTTATCTTGTGGTTCCGCTGCTGAGGAGCTTTGTAACTGCGCAGGAAACACTGTATTTTTGGTTTCCTCATTTGTAACTTGAGGAAATTAAAACAAATGCTCTAAACGTTGACTATACTTATTGTCGAGAATGTTTCCAAATGAGCAGTAAAACACACACATACCCCTCTTCAGATAATATTCTCTGAACTGTACATTCTCTAAACTATAAATCTTTTCTAAAAAATATTTATACTGTCACAGAGCCTTGAAATAATTTAATGTTCTTGTTGAAGTCATAGTATCTTTGTTTTAGGGAGTCACATATAAACAAGCATCGGATTATGGAATCAATCATGCACAGCTCCCACTTGGAAATTTTGTGAAGATGAATAGTCGAAAAGTTTTGGCAGTTAATCATGGTAAGCTGTAAGGGATAAACTGAAAATATACCTGAGCGAACATTGTGAGAAAGAATATTACATTTAGTATTTGAACAGGTAGAAAGTATTACACCTTGCTGGAGACAAAATTATAAAAATAATCATTTATAATTTGTTTAAATAACAGAAATAAGACATATTAGAAAATTTTGAAAATGTATGAAAGTATTCAAAAATTAGCTATATCTTACTACACAGAGATATTTGGTGTTAACTTTTTGGTGTTGATTTCGAGTTCTTTTCCTATGTAGATATATTATTATTTACTATGTAATTGAATTTTTACTATATTACATACAATGTTGTAAATCTGGGATATTTTCTCTCCATTATCACTTTATTTTTTCATGTCATTGAATGATTGTTAATGGTGGCCAGGCACGGTGGCTCAGGCCTGTAATGCTAGCACTTTTGGAGACCCAGGCAGGCTGATTGCTTAAGCCTAGGAGTTTGAAAACAGCCTGGGCTACATGGTGAAACTTCATCTTTACAAAAAATACAAAAATTAGCTGGGCATGATGGCGGGCGCTTATAGTCCCAGCTATTCAGGAGGCTGAGATGGCAGGATCACCTGAGCTCAGGAGGTCGAGGCTGCAGTGAGCTATGATTGTGCCACTGCACTACAGCTTGGGCAAAAGAGTGAGACCCTGTCTCAAATAAATAAATAAATAAGTTATTTATTTATTTATTTAAAAAATGGTAGTCCATCATTTTAATATACAATAATTTAACCATTCTCCTGTGGTTGAATTGTGTTTTTTTTTCTTTTTACTGTTACAAATAACATTGAAATAGACATTTGTGTACCTGTCTTCACCTAGACTTTGCTTTAAAAAATTCTTTAAGTCAATACACAACTAATTATTAAACGATTTTTATACACTAAATACTTTCTATATAGCAGGTTCTAGGGAGTTATATAAATGAAATTATTGATTCAACAAAGGAATTGCCTCTAAAATCTTTGGTATATAGTGGAAATTACATTTTCCACAAAGTAATTCAAGTTAGCCCTTCAGCAGTATGCTGAAGTAAGAGTACCCCAGAGGCAATATTGATACTCTACTACAGCCTATGTATAAAAAAAGAAAGAAAAGGAAAAAAAAAAAGCAGTCAAGGAGCTCCCAGTGTCAATGGCTCTTTATAGGAAACATGAAGAAAGTTAAATAAATGCTAACCAGGTTGTTAACTTATAAAGGATAAAGATGTGAAGGGGCCAAAAAACAGTAGGAGAGAAACTGAAAAGGTCTTTATTGATTATAATTGACATGAGATACTGGCAAATTTCTGAGTGCTTAAGAACTGAACTGAGAAAAAGCTAGATAGGTAACTGGGCTGGAGTACCTTGGGGCAAATTGGCGTTGACAGACAATAGAAAGAAGAGATGAGAACAAAGTAGTTGTTAGGACAAAATAAGAGACTTAATACAAAGGCAATATATTTTAAAAGACAGCATGCAGCATTGTGATGAACTTGGCTAAGAAATGTATGGAGTTTGTCTTTATTGCAGTGTTTGAGATTATTCTGGAATACCTGGAAACAAGAGACTGGCAAGAAGCATTTTTTACTATCTTGCCCCAGCGGAAAGGAGCTGTTCCCACAGACAAAGCCTGTGAAAGTTCTTCTCATGACAAGCAGTCTGTCAGGGTGGAGCAAGGTGGATCGGACAGTGATTCCAGTGAGGAGGAATATAGCAGAAATGAACCGGATTCCCCACATGAAGAAAAGCAGGATAAGGAAAATCACACTGAATCTACAGTCAACTCTCTGCCACACTAATATTACCTGGTTTCCTTTTAGTTTAAGGAAAAATTAGGAGAAGGTGAGGTACTATATAGAATATTGAAATTGGAAGAAAATTTTATTTTCTCTTATTTCTGTTGTGAATTTTAAAACTTTTTTTTTTTTTTTTTGGAGCTAAATGATCATTAAAAAGCCCATTAAACTTTGTAAGAAAATGTTTTTTGATTTTGCATAAGAAGATTTAAATGTGTATGTGGTTTTTTGTTTTTGTTTTTAATAGTAGTTTCTAGATAATTTTACTTTATTAGTATATTTTCATTTTCTTTAATTTTATATTCTTTAGAATGTGCCTTCTGACTTTTCAGTTTTATTATTTTATAGTCCTGTCAACATCTTTATGATCTATTGTCTACATACCTGTGAGGACACATATTCATAAATATACTATCAATCTATCAGAATGTTGTGTATGGTAGGTTCCCCTCTATTTGCAGCTTTTATGTTTAATTTAGTTATTTGAAAGAAATATAGTAAGTTTAGGAAGAAGTAGCAGTATGATAGACATAATAATTCATTTCTTTTGGACTGCGTAGTGCATATCCGTTCCTTCTTTTTGATACCTTTTTGTGGTTCTGAAGTAATTACTAAAGAGTTGAGAATCTCTTTAATTCATTTGTTTAGTTCTTACAATGGTGATGTTACTTCAATTATAAAATTGAATTTTGCAGAATAAATTATTTTATAATGCTGTTGCTATTAAAAGATCAATTTTGCCTTTACCTGCATTTAAAATGAAACAGTTCTTAGCAGCTGTGTTTTTCTTTCATATATATTTTTTAAATATTTGTTGGCTTTTAAGATGCATAAAGTTTATATGTACATCTGCCTCTTCTCAAATAAGAATATTCATACTAATGTATGCTTCTATAAATGACATACACATGTGAAAATATGCATGTAAATATATCTGTCCTGATCATGTATGGTTCTCAGTTATTAACTGATGATAATATGATTGATTTGCCATTTGCCATATGTCTGTATTACTTGTGAATGGTTGTGTTGAACACACTAAGAGCAATTTGAATTTTATTAAGTACAAAAATCCTAAGCTAAACATTTGTATGGGAATGCTGGCAAGAAAGAATAGTGTAAAAGGGAATTGTTTTAGTTTCCTACAGGTAATTGTAGATGCAGTTAAATGTGTAAGGTAAAGTGACTGGTCTCTATCACAACTAAAGGATTTCAGTACCCTTCATTGAGTTTGGGTAAAACTAGTTCCTATTCTTTTGTCTTCTTTTTAATATATAAAAGTTATATTTATATTTATATATATTTTAAAAGTGCTTAACTTATACTATATATGTTACATACTAACATATATACACACAATAGAAAATCTATTGGATTTAGTATGGATATTTACTGTCTATTTTTGTTACTTTGTTTTTAGTAATCTATTATAGTTACCTATTTTACGGTAAGGTCTGTAGGCAATATATGTAAGTAAAGACAAGCCCTGCAATTCTAAAATAACAAAGCTTATGTCTTAAGTTATATTTTTAAAAGGTTCATGTTTTTCTGAGTAAATGTGCTTTATCAGCATGAAATATTATGCCTTTTACTTAAATTATTTTATGTAGAATAGGACACTGTTTAATTATGAAAGGTGGGAAAAAATCATTCCAAATAAAAGTTTAATTTGTGTTAATTATAAAAAGCCCTGTATTAGTTTCCTAGATGTACTGTCACAAATTACCACAAACTGGGTGGCTTTAAACAACAGAAATTTATTCTCTTAAAAGTTTCAGAGACTAAACATCCAGAATAAAGATGTCCCAGAGTCATGCTTCCTCCATAGGCCCTAGGAAAAAATACTTCCTAGCCTCTTCCTGGCTTTTGGTGGTTGCCAGCAATCCTTGCTGTTCCTTAGCCTATAGTGGCTTGACTTCAGTCTCAGTTTTGTTGTCAAGTGGTGTTCTACTTTGTCTTCTATGTTTACATCAGTGTCCAAATTTCTCTCTTTTTATAAGGAGACCAGCATTGGATTAGAGTTCACCATGATCCAATATGACCTCATCTTGACTACATCTGCAAAGACCCTGTCTCCAAATAAGGTCTCATTTACAGGTACCATGTATTAGGATTTGACATATCTTTTGGGATACACAATTCTGCCCACTACAAGCCCATAACTAGGCTGTTGGTGGCAAGAAGGCAAATATTACTACCTAGTTTCTGAGATATTTTTAAATTTGGTTTTAAAAAAATCAAGCTTTTTTTCTCATTTTAATATATCCTTTTCTCTCAGCATTGTTTTGGTGTATTTAGGTTCTTTTTTTGTTGAAACTTCAGTAGATATTAAAGTCACTTGTACTGGAACATAAAGTTAGGGAAGTAAAATACTTAAATAAATGTATCAGAAAATATATGTCTGCTGAAATATAGAATTTCCTCACATTTAACTTCTTTAATAACTTACAGTCATCATAAAGCAAGCTCATTCTTAAGAGAAGAACCATTCTTCATTCTGATTCTCCAGAGATTGGTGATGTTGACATTATAGCATTTGAAAATGCTCAGAATGGAAAAACCAAAAATGAGGAAAGAAAGCAGTTCCAGTGATTAAATATCACTGGGAGATGAATGAACAATGATGAAATCCACCATTGACTGGTAGTTATAAAGCAAAGTGACATATGATTTCACTTTATACACAGGAAAGGTCACAGAAATTATATAGATAAAAGGCAAGAACTGTCTATAGAGCCCTGAGAAAATATACAGACAACAGGTGTAAAATGAGATTTAAAAAAAGAAAGAAAAGAAAATGGCAGGGATTCGAATTAAGGGTAGCAAAGGCATATAGTAGTCATTAAACTTTGATTCCAGTTAGCATACGGGCATTTATCTCTAGTTTCCTATCTCATTGCCAGACACATATAGTGATATAATGTGAAGAAATTTGAAGAAGAGAAGCAGTGACAAAATCAAAAGGTGGTACATTGACAGAATCAATGGAAACAGTAGGAAATTGGACTAAGCGTAAACCTTGCCACTGCCACTGTTAATTGTGGGACTTTGGATGAGTTAGTCAACCTTTGTTAGGTCTCAGTATTTTTATACGTAAGATTGAAATGTTACTCCATCTACTCTGTCTCTTACGGTTAGAGCAAACAATTGTCAAGCAGTAGCTAATGATAATGCTTGATTTGGCTTTCTCATTTCTTGCCTCATTTCCCTTGTTTCTCCGTCTTTTTGACATTGCCTGCTCTAAAATAGTAATAATATATAGGCTTTTGTTTCATGCTCTACTTTCTGAGGAAGCCCGGCTTAGATACAATTTTTAAAATGTAAACTTTCTAAATTACCAAATGAACACTCACTAAACAAAACAAGGAAATTGCAGATCATTTAGTGAAACACTTACTAAAGCAACAAAAAATGCTAACATAAAACACAATCACATGACAAAATCTGTATGTCCTATCAGCAAATTTAAATGGTCTAAAAATCTCCCAAATTGGATTTTAAAAAGAAATATATACTGTATTTAAAGCTACTCAGCAATACTGAAAATAAAAAGCAGAAAAAGACATGCCAGGCTAATAAAATGAAGACAGAAGTCACAATGTTAGCATTGGATAAAATTCAACACATTACAAATAAGGAAAAGGAGAAGAACATGTTGTAATGGTCAAGAATGCAATCCTTAGGAAAGATCTAATCATTTTGATTATGCATCAGGTAACATAATATTCAAAGTTATTGAGAGAAAACTTTGTGAATTACATGAAACAACACATCAGTATAAGGAGTCTTTAACTCATACTTCTCAATCTATTATAATGCAAGTAGACAAAAGATGAATATATGGAAAATATACATGCTGTAATTACTAATACAGATAGTGATACCAAATTTTGTAGGCTGAAAAAAAAGCCAACTTGTATTCTAGTGTCCATGGAATATTCATAAAATAACTATATTAGACCACAAGGAAAAACTTTCAAAGTAAAAATACAGGCAGTGTCTCTGATAACAATACACTAAACTGAAAATAAACTTGGTGAGATGGGATGAAAGCCTTACATTTAATTTTTTTTTCTCAAGAACTTATTAGATAAAAGAGGAAATCAAATCTGAAATTATATAATATTTTGAAAATAGAGACAATAAAAACGCTACATATCAGATCTATAATCTACATAAAGCTGTGAATAGAGAAAAATTAATCACCTTAAAAATTTATGCTAATTTAAAAGAGTGAGTGAATATAAACAATTTAAGATTTGACCCAAGGTGTTAGAACAATAATGAACCTAAAGACATAAAAAATGGAAGTTAAAGATACTAAGAAATGAAAAGAGATACAAAAATAGTAAAATTGTTGGACATAAGAATAAATCCGAGGTTGGTTTTTTTGAAAATGGTAGCAACATGTGAAGTCATTAGCTAACTGAATCAAGAAAAATATTACAAATACATAAAAATGAGAATTGCAGAATAAATTTGAATGAATTAGGAGATAAATCTCTCAATTCTATGAAATTTGGACACCTGGATGAAACAGATAATTTTCTAGGAAAATATAAACTTCCAAAATTGACCCTCTCCAAAAATGCCAAAAATATAAATAGACCAGTCACCACAGGAGAAATAAAATTGTCAAAGAGCTACAATCCCCCAAAACACAAAAACTATGTGGTCTCATAGATGAATTTTAGCAAAATGATAAGGAAAAAGGAATTGGCAATGCTATTATAATTTCTTCATAACAAAAGAAAGGGAGGACTTTATTAATTTTATGAGTTGAGCATAATCTTGATATTTATCAATAGCACCTAGTGCTTAAGCACGTAGATTCTAGCCATACTTTGAGCCAGTCATGAAATCTTTGTGTCAAAAGCTAATTTTTCTTAACGTAGAACATAGCTATAGTTGGAATATGGTTCCTACTCAAGTTTTTAATCAGCTTCTCTTTCAGCTATACTAATTCTCAATGATGGAAGATAACTAGAAGTGATGTTTACCATTTCAAGGCCAAGACTTTAAGCAGATATATCCTCCTTGTGGAAGGCATAATAGTGTCCCCTCAAAGATCCTAATTCCCAGAACCTTTGAATTTGTTAAGTTAGATGGTAAGGGGGAATTCAAGGTGGCAGGTAGAATTAAATTGCTAATCAGCTGACCTTAAATGAAGGAGATTTACTTGACTAAGCTGGATAACAGGCCCAATGCAATCACAAAGGTCCAAAATTAAAAGATGGAGGCAGAAGAGTCAGCATCAAAGTGGTTTGTTACAAAAACAACTTGACTGGCCATTGCTGACTTTGAAGTTGGAAGAGTGGCATGAACCAAGACATGTAGATAGCCTCTAGAAAATGGAACAGGTAAGGAAACAAATAGTCCCCTAGAGCTTAGGAAAGGAATGCAGTCCTGCCCCACCTTGATTTTAGCCCACTAAGACCCATTTCAGACCTCTGCCTATAGAATTGTGAGAGAATACATTTGTGTTGCATGAAGTCACTAAGTTTGTGGTAATTTGTTACATCAGCAATAAGAAACTAATACTTTACTCTCATTTTCTTTTGCCAGCATGGTACAGTTGACAGTGGAGCCCTAGGTGTTGGTTCAGCCACCAGATGGATCTTGGGCCTCTAAATCACCAAGTAAAGCAAAGTCATCTTTGAAACACACACTTTGGGCTCTCATGGGAGAAATAATTGTGTTTGAATGATGGCATTTGTTACAACTTACCCCATTACAATGAGTTCAAATCTGTGCCTCAGCTTTCTTATTTTAAATAATGAGAAAAATAAGAGTAGTTACCTCAAACCGTCTTTGTAAAAATTAAATAAGTTATTAGATCTAAAGTGTTTAGAATGATTCCTGACACATAGTAAATATGTTATCAACATTTAATGTACACATAGACATGCATACACATGAACATACCACACACTGAATTTATATGGT